AAGTAGCAAAACTAGCTAAACAAGACATGAAAGGAGGGTCCCTCTTTCCAAAATTGTGCTGATTTTTCCTTTATTTAGAAGGAACAAAATGGATTACCTATCTGACTAAGCAGATTGGTTCGTATTTTCTTTTTTTAAAAAATAATTAGTCTATCCACTGCTTTGCAGGTGTACAAACTTTGTGTTCTCTCTTCTTTGATTTCTAGAACCCTAGATGGCTTGGGATTTACCCTGGAGAAGTGAATCTGACTATACAGTCTCTGCATCAAGATGACAGAGAGCACGGTTAAGAAAGTTTTGTAAGATCCTTTCCATTTTCAGGTGAGTTGGTTCCAGGTCTTGATTTGAACCTGGTCACAAGGGCAGACCTTGAGCTGATAACTGCTTTTATTCCCTTGGAATGGACAAATTTTTTTTTATATTGCTGGAGGATCTAATAGAAGGTTTCCAGGTGGGTTGGAGGAGCTAGGAAATATTGGTATCAGTAAGTAGATCAGATGCCAGGAAAGGTCTTCCATAAAGCATCTAAATGGGCTAAGAGTAAATTTGGATTTAGGGGCAGCCCAAAAGCCCCATTAAGGCAATTGAAGGGCATCTAGTCATTTATGTGGGGTTGCTGAGATAGCTTGACTAAGGTCTACCTGAGGGTTTGATTGGTTCATTCAACATTCGCTTAGGACTGGAGCTTCCAGGCAGTTTGGAGGTGACATTTGGTTCTCAGGGTTTGACAACTCCCTGTGTAACTTGGCCTGTGAAGAAGGGCCCATTATCACTCTGGATGAACCTATGAGGTTCAAACCTTAGAAAGAGTGTTTACTACCTTCAAGGCTCGTTCTGACCTGATGGGAATGACTCTAATGCAGGAGAGGTAGTTATGCACACCAAGAGATGTGTATACCTTTTACACAGAAGCGTGTGGGTGAAATTTATTTGCCAGTTGTAGGGTTCGGTGGTCTCTCCGTTGTTCCCAGGAGAAAAAAGTAAGGGGATTTAGAAAATAAAGACAAGAGACAAAAGCTGGAGTCAGGTGGAGTTGACCCTTTACCTGATAAGCAAGAAGACCTACACAACAACAATAGGGGCACTTACTAATACTCTTGCAAGGTTAGTATCACAAGAGGTAATGTTGCCTAGTGACTAATGACTGAAATTGTCCAGGCAGGATGTTTTTCTCCAGAATAAGGTAGCTTGACTGCTCGAGGCACTCTTGGTACTGTCCTGCCCTCACATCTATGACAAATTTCCAGCTCCAGCTTCTCCCAACAGCCAATCTTCTGCAGAGGTGTTCCCTTGCCACTGTATTAGTTGAGGCCATGGAGGTATATGGATCTTGAATTATGGAGGGCACAGAGATAGCACACCTTATAGACCTAGGTTACAATGATTAGACTCTAGGCCATAAAAAGAGCTTAAATGCCATAGCACTGATACCATCTACATGATACCAGCTTAATGACTACCCATTGTGCTCACTGTAGCAAGCACAGCCTCTGATATTTCTGCACACATCCCACATGCCACCATTGGCCATTGTGGACTCCTCCCTCATCAGGAATCATTTGAAGTTCTCTGTAGCACACCAGGGTCCAAATCAAGAATTTGGAATGGGACCATGGGGACAGTTACTGTGGGCCTGGGTTATTTTGGAGGGCAGCCAGTTTGGCAGCCAAAACTGCCTTTGAATTACCATGGGAGTTGGTCCAAGCAGGCTTTATGTCCCCAGCAATGGACAATTGCTACCTCATTTGTGATATTTAGTACCTCGAGAAAGTTAAAGACCATTGGTACATGTTTTATTAGTGACTTGCAGTTAGTTAAAAGTCCACTTTTTTCCAGATGGCAGTCTGTGAATCTGTGCTTGTAAAATCCAAAAGGCATACTTGGATTATAAATATATATCCACTGTATGCATATTGAACCTCTTTCCTTGAGTAAGTTAAAGAGCCTGAGTAAGGGCAATAAGTCCTACCTTCTGGAACAAGGTCCCAGGAGGAAACCACCCTCAGTGACTTGGGTTAAACTGCTATGGCATACTCTGCCCCACTAATGCCATCCTTTATGAGACTACTCCCATCAGTGAACCCTGTTGTTGCCATCTCTGCCAATGAGTGATCACTCAGACTGGTGCAGCTGGCATAATTCTGGGCAATGGTTTGTTCACACTCATGCTGTGCTGTGGGTTAGTTGGGAGAAGGGTAACCAAGTTTGGAACTATGCAAGACTGGAGAGAGGTGTTTGGGTTTTTGATAAGGAAGCTTGGATATTTCTCCAGTCATCTACACATGTCCCTTGGGTTGTACAGGAGCATTAACCTGGTGTGGGTTAGGACTGGAAACTTACCTCAACATTAACTTAGAGGCTTCCAGGATTAAGAATGTCATCACAGCTATTTCTAATAGGTAGTTGGACCAGCCCTGTTCCCCCTACCCCATTTGGTTATTTGGACAAGTAGGTGCCTGGCTGGGTTTCCTCACTCAGATGCGGGGTTAGTACTCCAGCTGCTATTCTTTGTTTCTCAATAGGAAAAAAGAACATTAGGTCCAGGATTACTAATGCCAACGCCTGCACCAGGGCCCATTTCAGAGCAGAGAAGTCTTCCTGAGAGGATAGGATCCATTCCAAGTGATCAGTTTTTTGTCTCTGAGTTGCCTAATCTCACAATTTGACTATTATTCTAAAGTGGGGTATCCAAATGTTGCAGAAACCAGTCCTTCACAAGAAAACCCTCAGCTCCTCTTCAGGCTTCAGAGAAACCAGTCAGCAAATCATCCCTGTTCTCCTTGAGAACAGTTGTCTCTGTCCTGTTGTTAAAATATACTCCAGGTACAGTATGAACCTTTTTGTTCAGAAATCTGGACCTTGTGTAGAGATACATTGTAACCCCACTTTGTTAACAGATTCACTATCTTAATGGGGTTTTAATGGTATCCAAAGGAGGAAGTAATCTACTAATTGTATGAAGTCTTTCTTCTTAAATGTCAGGTCTATAAGAACATCAGCTAAGAGTCATGCAAACAGGTCGGGCTATCTCCACACCCCTGAGACAAGAGAGTCAAAGTGTACTATTGGGTGAGCACAGATTGGGAATTCCCACATTCAAAGACAAACAAGTATTGGGAGCTAGGACCCATAGGCATAGAAAAGAAGGCAAAGCCTTCCTGAAAAACACTCTAGTTGCACAAGAAATAATACAAGAATCAACAAATGGGATTACAAAAAATTTAAAAGCTCTGTATAGCAAAAGAAACCATCAACAGAGTGAAGATACAACCCACAGAATGGGAAAAAATTTGCCAGGTACTCCTCAGATCAAGGACTACTATCTTGATTATATAAAGAACTACAAATAAGGGGCTGGGGATTTAGCTCAGTGGCAAAGCGCCTGCCTTGCAAGCGCAAGGTCATGAGTTCAGTTCCCGGCACCGGAGAAAAACCAAAAAAAAAAAAAAAACTACAAATAAAATTAGACATCCCATTTAATGAGCCTATTAAAATGGACATCTGAAATGAATATTTCTCAGATGAAAAAATACAAACAGTTAATTAATATATGAAAAAGTGTTCAATGTTGCTGGCCATTCAAAAAGTGCAAATTAAAAAAAAAACAGTGAGATTTAATCTCACTCCAGAAAGAATGACTTTACCATCAAGATATCAACCAATAACAAACACTGGTGAGGTTGTGAGGAGAAAGAAGTACTTCATGGTTGGTGGGACTGTAAACTGATACACCCACTATGGAAATTCCTCAAACAAGTCAAAGTAGAAATTGCATTTGATCCTGCTATTCCTCTTCTTGGTATCTACCAAAAAAGAGTTAAAGACATCATACCACAGTGATATGTACATACCTGTGTTTATAATAGCACAATTAATAATAGCTAAATCTTGGGAATAGCCTACATGTCCATCAACAGATGAAGGAATGAAAAAGTGTGCTTTTTCTAAATAATAAAATACTACTAGGCCATGAAGAATGATAAACTTCAGTCATTTGTAGAAAAATGGATGCCCCTTGAGGCTATAAAGTTAGGTGAAGTAACTCAAGCACACAGACTTAAATATTGCATGGATTTTTATATGAAAAGCTAAATATATATAAACAACAAAATAAAAGACAGATAATAGCAAAGAAAAGAAAGGGGGAAAAAAGTTGTTGTAAGCCAGTATGAACAATATATTTATAAGTGTACCTTTACTTAATACAATTGTTTTATATGTGTTATGTAATCTTTGACCTCTTAACATGGTTTTTAACCTGTATATATGATAATTAACATTATAAGTTTTATAATATAAATAAGTGACTCTGATGCTGGAAAAAACTAAAACGGGGGTGGAGGAATAGGAACAAAGAAAAGAACTGAAATGCATTATGCACATGCACCAGGCTGCTACATCAAATGTAACCATTATGCTGAGGGTGTGCCTCAGTGGTAGAGCTCTTGCCTTGCAGGCACAAGGCCGTGGGTTCAATCCCCATCACACACACAAAAAAAGAGAACGTAAGCAATGTGTACTGCTGACTCAAAGAAATAAATGAAATTTTAAAAAAGAAGGTAACTTGAAGTCAAGGAGAGAAAACCAGTTACAGGACTGCAATCGCTTCAAGCTGGATAGGGAAACTATGTTTAAGAATGAATTCAGCTGGTGTTCGCTGTCATTTTCCCACTTAGCGAAGGACATCACAATTACTATTTAAACAACACGTGAGCAAGCACTGTTTGTATATATCAAATGCCAGACGTTTGAAAAGGTTAATAGTCTTTCATTAGAAAAATCGCTAAGTTCTAAAACACCATTTTGATTATTTTGGTGAGAGATTCTAGGAATTTTCTTCAGCTGTTGAGCTAATATTATGATTGATAATGTTTTCAAGGTAATGAACAAGCAATTTGTTCTTTAAACATTTATTCATGTCAATATTGGCTTCATATGATGTGATGTTTTGCAGGAATATAAGTACTTGCTAGAAAGAACCCTGACAACTTCACGGCAAAATGAAGTTCTTCCTGTTGCTTTCGGCCGTTGGGCTCTGCTGGGCTCAGTACAACCCTCATACATGGCAGGGACGCACAGCTATCGTCCATCTGTTTGAGTGGCGCTGGGCCGATATTGCTGCGGAATGTGAACGCTACTTAGCTCCGAAGGGATTTGGAGGTGTTCAGGTAAGGATTGCTCACAGCATGTATTGCAGCGTAGTGAGCTTATAGTACATAATATTGTAATCAGTCTCAGTGGTTTGGAAAAATGTTTGACTTGAATAAAATACTCTGTCTCTAAGAAAGAGAAAATTTAGTGTTGCTGACAAGATTTTGTTCAGTTTTGTTTCAGAATACAAGCAGGAGAACTCCACTGAGCATTTATTATTTTCAAGTTGTTATAAAGCAACATATCCATGTATAGAAAGATTCAGCAATAATTTTAGATTATGGATTAAATTTTATAGGACACAGTGGTATAAACAAAGCCATAATTTTATTGTTATTACATTTATGTTTTTTGCAGGTCTCTCCACCCAACGAAAATATTATCATTAACAACCCTTATAGACCTTGGTGGGAAAGATATCAACCAATTAGTTACAAATTATGCTCAAGATCTGGAAATGAAGATGAATTCCGAAACATGGTGACTAGGTGTAACAATGTTGGAGTAAGTGAATTCAAACGTCCTTTAAAATTTTTATGCAGGAAAATAACTTCTCTCCCTATTGCTTGCTCTTTTTGAGAAGAATGCTAGGGAATTAATTTTTTTTAAAATTTTCTTCCTAGCTTTTTAAGTAAAAAGTGAACTGTTGCCTCGTATTTAATGGTTGCAAATTTATTTATACCTATACCACTTATATATACTGATGAGGCACTGGTTACAGAAGAATTACTTATAAAGTAAAACAATGAATTTTAATGCTTATAACTATATGTATTTCCTATCAACGTAATTCTGCATAGGAATTGGAGATTCCAGTTATGATAGTTGCTGACTTTTACATGGGATTTCTGTTTACACTTGTGATTACTAGCTTTTTTCTCATCTTTTGATTAGTAAGTAGCTATTTACTTTTGCTTAATACAGTAAAGAGCAACAATTAACTGCTTTTATTTCCTGATGACCCACTGAAATATCAAAAATCAATTTATTAAGGTTCAATTGATTCTTTTTTTTGTTACTCTTTATTTGTGTGTCTTTTTGAGACAGGGTCTCGCTATGCAGTCCAGGCTGGCCTTGAGCTCACTTTGTAGCCCAGGCTGGGCTCAAATTTGAAATGATTCTCCTGCCTCAGCCTCCTGAGTGCTGGGATTATAGGTGTTCTACAGTACACCCAGCTATCAATTGATTCTTAACTCCACATAAATGACCTTTTTTAGTTTTTTAAAGGTTATGGGAATTTCCTGTTCTCTATATTATTTATGTGTAACAACCAAGAGGCTAAACTTGATGCAGTTCTTTATTTCACACTAGAATCCTTTCACACTTGATTCTGGTCTCGTATGAAATCATACTTGAAAAATTACAAAGAAATATTTGTATTTATTAACATCTAATAATATCTGAATTTCTTCCTGAAGTCGAACTGAAGTAGTCAATTTGCTTCTCAGGTCCGAATTTATGTGGATGCTGTAATTAATCACATGTGTGGGGAAGGCAATGGAGCAGGAACGAGCAGTACTTGTGGGAGCTACTACAACTCTCACAACAGGGAGTTTCCAGCTGTCCCGTACTCTGGCTGGGACTTTAACGATGGGAAATGTAAAACCGGAAGTGGAGGCATCGAGAGCTACAATGATGCTGCTCAGGTAAAGCTTTTCTTTAGATATTATATATCTTTTATTTTTAAAAACATACATTTAAAAAATAATTTGTAAAAAAGAGTAGTATTATCTTTTATTTTATTTTATTTTATTTAAGTTTATTGGTACAATTTACATACACACAATGACCCCATTCATTATAAGGACTGTGTGTCTATGCATATTTGATTCTTCTTTTCCCCCATTCCAGTCCTCTCTCAACCAAGAATTTTGTAGGACTTTAATTACTTACATGTACATTATTGAATGTCGTATGATACTGGTTGAGAATCCTTAAGAAAACCACTTACCAGCCTTACTTGTTTAAAACTAAGAAAAATGTATTCAAATACTTTCGACTAAGCTTAAGACTTGTTATATTCTAAAGGAGTAGAATGCTTATCTGCCATTCTGGACAGTGCAGATTTCTGCACCCCCATAGGCACTAAAAAAAGAACAAGAAAAAAGAAAGATAATGAAAAGTAGGAAGAAAAAATTCTCTCTACAACTGAAAAGTTCATCTTCTTTATTTCCTGCACTCCTTACTTTTACACTAGAAATCACTTCACATGTGTGTTCACAGTAAAGGATCAATAAATATCCCCAGTGTCTGCAAAGAACACATTATGTAATATACATTGATGTAAATGTACATAACTGAATAATCAAATGGATTCTCAGGTAGAGATGATGTTTTATGAATAAATGAAAAAATTTACCTCAACAGGTCAGGGACTGTCGTCTAACTGGTCTTCTGGATCTTGCACTTGAGAAGGATTACGTGCGTACCAAGATAGCTGACTACCTGAACCATCTCATCGACATTGGGGTAGCAGGGTTCAGACTGGACGCTTCTAAACACATGTGGCCCGGAGACATCAAGGCAGTTTTGGATAAATTGCACAATCTGAACACAAAGTGGTTCTATGCAGGAAGTCGACCTTTCATTTTCCAGGAGGTACATAAATATATGCGTATGTGTATAATACAAGAGTATTTTGTTCATTACACAACAAATGGCAGATTAATAAAATATGATTTCTGCAAGGTAGTGGATCATTCAAAGAGGTGTATTCTTTTAATTTTATTCAAAGATAGCACTTCTAATTCTTTATCAAATAAGTTGTATGGATAGGTAAAACTTTTCTTTAGCGTGAAAATTTAACTGTGCCATTTACTGTCTCTTTAGAGACCATACAGAAGACAGAAGAGTGTTTAGTTGTCATTGCCTCAAACAAATCCATCTTATTTTGAATCTTCACTACGTAAATCATAGCTATTTGAAACACTTCTACAGCTGTAGGCTGTGTATAATTTTGAGGAAATTGATTAATCTTTTGTAAAACCATTTTCCCATCTACAGAAAAGTGTGAAGGTTTTATTTTCTTTGGAAATTAAATAATTTAATAAGTATCGAGCACTGAGAAATGTCAGTCAAACAGTAAGTGCTGTGTTGATTGAACTGTTGTTTGTATATATGGAAAAATAAATCAGTTAAGCATCTTTTGGCAGGGCAATGTGTCACATTGGAATTAAGTTTCCTTTCAATATTGTGCAATGTACTTATAAAAACAAAGAAACGAGGCAAGGAAAAATGTTTTGGAGTATTTCAAGTAACATACCTCACTTAAAGGTATTTTAATGCAACTTTAAAACACTGATGTAAAAGACATTTTCCCCTATATTTCTACTAGGTAATTGATCTGGGCGGTGAAGCAATTAAAAGTAGTGAATACTTTGGAAATGGCCGTGTGACAGAATTCAAGTACGGTGCAAAACTAGGCACAGTTATTCGCAAGTGGAATGGAGAGAAGATGGCTTACTTAAGGTAAGTAAAGTGTTATTTGTGAATTGAACCTTTTTACATCTATTTGGCATATACCAATATGGGTTATCTTCATAAAACCTTGTTATTTGAATAGGTATCAAGATTTTGATTACTAATAAGTGTTAGGCTTCACCCTTCTCAATTAACAATCTCTTTTATTTATAATAGCAAAGCAAATATTTTAGAAACTGAACAGATTACCAAGAAATTGTATCCTATAATATACAAGTATTCTAAGTTCACTATGTTTTCCTTTGGTCTGTGAACTCAGTTAATTGTTAAAGTGAATTTAACATTTTATTCAGTACTGATCAACTGCCTAAAATCTGGAATTTACATGTATGGTGTCACTTAATTAATTTCAAATATTAAAATATTTATATTACAAAAATATGGCTTTGAAGCCTGATTGTAACACACTTTGATATGCTCTTTAATGTGATATGAATGTTTATCCTTCTGAAATCCATCTATGTTATAATATACTGAATCCTATAATTCAAAATAGATTATAAAATCTTTTGGGAAATCAATTAATTAGAGAATTTAACTGAAGAAGCTATATAGAAATAAATCCAGAGTATAGATATCCTAAGGCAATTGTACATACATAGGAATAATATGCACATACTATTTTTAATATAGGAACTGGGGAGAAGGGTGGGGCTTTGTGCCTTCTGACAAAGCGCTTGTCTTTGTGGATAACCACGACAATCAACGAGGTCACGGAGCTGGAGGAGCATCTATCCTTACATTCTGGGATGCTAGGTAGGAAATATCATTCTCCAAATTTTTTTATCTACCCTTAAATGATAATTGAAAACTCTATTCTTATAGTGGATTTTGAAATTTTCAGACTGTATAAAGTGGCTGTGGGATTTATGCTCGCTCATCCATATGGATTTGCACGAGTAATGTCAAGCTACCGATGGGACCGAAACTTTCAGAATGGAAAAGTAAGCTTTAGAGTTGTCCAAAATATTTCTTTTTCAGTAAAGACAGTCTTCAATTTTTTTCACATAAGGAAATTACACTTGATATTTATTCATCAAGTATGTGTTTAAGTATATATTGTTCATTGTACGATATGATTTTACACTGATTCCTCAGCTACGTTCATCTAATTTTTGAAGAAATATGTTTAAAAGTGATGCCAGTCAGAAAGCAAACACAATGTCAGAAATTTAGTCAGTTTAATACAGCAATTAGGATGGGTAGCTGAGTGCATTTTTCCAAAATGTTGTTTAATATCAACTAATATCAATTTGGCAATTATTGTATTCAAGGCAGTTTCACGTGTGGTATTTAATTTGTTTACTGACCAGGTAATATTCTTTTCTTTACAAATGATAAAACTGATAAAAAGAGAGACCTTATGTAGGTTGTTTCATTTTATTTCAAATTTAGTATAGAAGCCAATATTCTAATCCTACTTTGCTTGTCACCAGTGTTCTTGCTGTTTCAATGACAGCGTTGAGTAAGGATATTCAGAAGCTGTTGGTAATAGAGAAATTAATAACACAGAATTTTACATTATGTTTTCTTGAAATATGGCACTATAGAAAAGGAGTCCACAGACATGGTAAGACCAAGAAGTTGGATTCTAAATGAAAACTAAATTTAAAAAAAGAAAGATATTGCAGATGTTAAGCTATAGCACTGATAAGATTTTATGTAAAGGAGAAGGAAGATACAAGTGTGAGAACTTAGTAAATTCTAAGGTCTTTTTATCGTAATGAAGGATGTTAACGACTGGATCGGGCCACCTAATAACAACGGAGCGACTAAGGAAGTGACCATCAATGCCGACACCACCTGCGGCAACGGCTGGGTCTGCGAACACCGCTGGCGTCAGATAAGGTGGGAATGCGTTTTCCGAGGCACTTCCTGACGTAAAGCATTTTACTTTAAATTGTCAAGTCGAGGTAGACGAGCCATTTATATGAGTCTGCTTTTAGGAACATGGTTGCTTTTCGAAACGTAGCTGATGGCCAGCCTTTCACCAACTGGTGGGAAAATGGATCCAACCAAGTAGCTTTTGGAAGAGGAAACAAAGCATTCATTGTGTTTAACAATGATGACTGGTGAGTAGATACTTATGTAAAGTTAATATTTTATTGTCTTATCTTCTCTTGCATTATTTTCCTGTTCACTGACTTTTCATCACAATTGAAAATTCTTATAATCTGTGGATGAAGGAAACATACAGCTGAGAGGCACAGAAGAGAAACGATGCGGACTCTTGCTTTGTTCCCGTATTTTACAAGGCTCTTCTGCTTCACGTAGAGGCCTTTGTATGCACCAAGCCGCACCAGGTGCATCGACGTGAAGTCTCAGTACCAGAATGTCATTTTCTTCCTAGCTCTGTAGCTCAGCTGTTCCTCTCTGTCTTCTTCTGCTTTATATTCTTTACTTTTCTGTCTCTCTGACACAAATAATTTTTCAACCATATGTGTAAGAAATATATGTATCTTAATGTCTACAATTTTTCTCAGAAGATATTTGAATTTTGGTTATAAAATTTCCCATTATTGACCTTCCCTTTGTGATAATTATTTTCTCTTTTCTAGTCTAATGATTCTCTCATAGATAGCGGCAAATCAGATGGCCTTGTTACAAATACCTTATACATCTCAGTCCAGGTCCAGCCTCTACTCCTGTTCAGCTCTTTTCACACTGATTTATATTTCACTAAAGATCATGTTTGATAAACTCAGTATATCTCATTTTAAAAGAAAGGTCGCATGATTCATTCTTTAATTTTTCTTTTCTATACGGGAAAACTAAAATGTATTTTTAAAAGACAGCTTTTTATTCCAAAATGTGTAGTTCCAAGAACTGCTTGGTTATTCTTATACACAAATTCCTTTTCACCTTTAGGAAAAAAAAGCTGTTTTTGAAGGTATAATCTTATGTAAATCTTTAGAAATTTTTTTTTAAGTCAAAAGAAGACAAATTTAACATATTTATGTCTGTTATCATACTTTTATCCAATTTCTACATATATTTACTGATAATCCTCAGCCTTCCTGCATTAGTAATATTCACCGCAGACTATAGAACTTACAGAACTGCTACGTCCTCAATAAGATCACATTCGATCCTGAGAAATATATTCATATGCACTAAAATGGTGTTTGAATTTTCTTCTCTTAAGACTTTGAGTGCTTAGAGTTTTCTGGCACACCGTTCTTTCCATTATGTCTACTACAGCTGAATTTAATTTAAATAATAAATTGTATTTTTCAGGACTCTGTCACAAACTTTGCAAACTGGTCTCCCAGCGGGCACGTACTGTGATGTCATTTCCGGGGATAAAATCAATGGCAACTGCACAGGAATTAAAGTCCAGGTTTCTGGTGATGGCAAGGCTTACTTTTCTATTAGTAACTCGGCTGAAGACCCCTTTATTGCCATTCATGCTGAATCAAAGTTATAAAATTCAAATAAAATACCTATAGAGAAAAATCATACCAATGTTTCTTTCTTTGTACATACATTAATTTTATAATTGACTCACTTTTCAGTAGCTTGTGGATTATCAAATTGATTACATATAATAAGAAAAACCAGAAAAAATTTAAAAGTCATGTATAATCATACAACTAGCTTTTAACCTTAGCTAAGATGTTTTAAAAGACATATCTGAATCAATTTGTGAAAGAAATTTGCAAGGAAACAGAGCTATTCTCTTAATTATGTTTGTTGTAATTAGCATCACTTGTCAATAGGTGTCTCTAACTGATGTATGTGGACAAGATTTCCTTAGATGTTTTCATCAGTGTGACACCCTGCTTAATGAAGATTCCTAGACAGTTATTTTCACACAGAATCTTACACAACTTGTAGATGTTTGCATACTTTGATCTCTCAAGAAGTTTTTCCATCTTTATCATCTTTCCTCTTTTCTACAGCTTTGACTTGCTGTTTTATGATGCTTTATTCTTTCTAATTCTCATACAGATTGATTTAGTTCTCTCATTGCAATACATTGCCCAGATTTTTTCTTGATCCTTTAGCTATTTTTTTCTCCTTTGTCTTGATTTGGATGTAGAGTTTACTAAGGCTCTCACCTTTATCTTTGCAACACTCTCCTTTTTTGTGCTTAAAAGTAAAATTAAAAACTGTACACTGCATCACTGAATCACTGTACACTGTACGCTTCACTTTCAGGTATTGTTATGGTTTGTGCCTTGATGTTCCCCCCAAAGCCTCATGCACTCATGGGTGGAATTCTAGAGTTTGTGATTGATTCATGCTCTAATGTTGGGATTATGGGTGTGAGTGCTACTCCCACCCTGGTGTGAGTAGTTTGCATACAATGTAAGGGAGGGAAAGAGGCTGCTTGCAGCTGTGCTTTCCCTTTCGTTCTTGTTGCTTTTGCTGTTTTCCACTGCCATAAACTGTTATCCTCTGTCATGTGCCCCCCTGCCTTGGATCCAGCTTATTATGAACTGAAACACCCACAAACTGTGAGCTAAATAAACCTTTCCTTCCTTAATTTTGGGCATCAGCTATTTTGTTGCAGCAATGAGAGAAAAGTAACCAAGACAGGTGTACATGTATGTGTACTTGCTATAAAGCAAATCCACTGGGCTTTGGTTACAAATTCAGCCCACTGCACCTTGGGCTTCAGTTTCTATTCTGCATAAGTCTCATCAAAAGAACATGTACACCAAAAGGAAGTAGCAGGAAACAGCTTTATTATTTAAATATTTAGAATAAGAAAAAACAAAAGTTTAGCCTTGATGATTACCCAGCTTTCCAACCCTTAGGAAAGCTGCCCAGGGTAGATGGAGACTCATTTGCACATACCACATCATCTCCACAATAGAGGGACCTGGATATAAATCTGTCCTAAAGTTTAGAAACCAGCAGCCACTGGATTCAACTGAATACAGCTGCAAAGAGCAAATATTCTTGCAGGTAAAGAGAGAAATTAAAGCTCCTCCTGCCAATTTCTCATCTCAGCATATTAGCACGTGCTACAGCAACCTTGAGAATTACAAGTGAAAAATTGGAAAGAACAGGCAGTTCCAATATCATTGACAGAATGGTCCTGAATTTGTCTCTAGAATTTTTTTCTTTCCTCTATCAAGCTAAAGAAAGTATGCTTCATTCTATAAAAGTCATTTCCTTCAATTTGTATGAATACTACTATATCGTGATTAAGATAGCAATCTTTTCATTGTCACTACCTTAATCCTCTCAGATTATCTATACCATAGTCTTCTAACTTACAAAATCCTTGCTTTGGTTGTATGTGTTTTACCTTCCAAGAATTCTATGTTGCAGTCTTGGTTCCCATACTTTTGGTGAGAGAGGCTGTGGGAACTTTAAGAGGTAGGGCGTCTAGTGAGGGATGGTTAGGTCATTGGGATACTGCTCTCAGCAAAGAGAAACCAAGTTGTCATGAGACCTTGGTTATGTCTGTAACACATGGGACAAGGGGGATGACCAGCAGAGACCACCAGGCTGTGCAAAGGCAACATGGCATGAAATTTATTGTGCCTGGGTGCAGGCAGACAGAAAGTGAAAAGACCTTCTGTAGGGAACAGACAGAAGTGTGCCCCTTTTGTAGGGATGTAAAGAAGGCAAGGGACATTAGTTGGGAAGATTATAATAAATAAACATCTGTGGTCAAAGTTCTCTGTGGGCAAAGTCCTTGAAGGTTCAGTGTAAATGGTCGAGTGCCTCCAGAGGTCCGCAGATGTCAATCAAATGGCACCTCAAAATCATATGCTTTCAAGTTTTTAAACTGAAAACAAAATAAATGTCTTTTCTCTATATATTTAAAACTCTTATTTGTTTTTTGAATTACTAGAAAGTGTGTTGATGTATCCACTCACAGAATTTTTTTGTCGGTAAAGGTAATTTCCTTGGCCTCTTTTCTAACAAAACATGTATATTTTCATTACAGTCTTCACATTTTAATATCATCCATTCTCACCTCTCCAACTGTTCCGTTTTCATCAGTAGCATTTCACTGAATCCTCTTTTCCTAAAGCCACTGATGATATTTGTGCTATGAATCCTACGTTCTTCTCTTTGCCCTTTGTACTCATCCTTTCTGCAGTATTCAAATTGTCAGCAATTCTCTTCCTTATTTCTTTTTCCCCTTCCCGGTTTTCTTTTCAGATGCATGTTCTTAAATTATCTTCTGTTTCACCTAGGGCTTCTTTTTTGCAGTTTTTTTGTATCTTCCTGTCTTCAGATGACTCTTACCATTTATATAATATAAAACACCTAGGTGCATGGATGCCTTTGTCCCTATTCCAGAACATTTCTTGGCTCTGCCTCACATTCCAACAGATGCTTTTCTTTTTTTTCTTTTTCTTTTTTTTTTTGCCTACCTCACTATTTCACAAATGCCTTATTTAACATATCTACATGGAATCAACAATATTTTTCTCAATAAAATTTACTACCTTTTATAGCTTACTAAAAGTTTACGGTGTTCCTTAATTCTCCCATTGTCTCAACAACTCTCCCCGTCTTCCCACATGAGCTTTAGAAGGTCCTATTATAATGTATCCAACACCTCTTTTCATTTCCCATATTATTTATGGATCCTATGGCACCATTTCATGAAAGCCACCATCTCTTGCCTGCATTCTAAAATATCCATAAAGCTGGTCTCCTGTCTCCACTGTCTTACTCTCTCATTCTACTCTAATACTGTTTGCAAATCTGTACTCATGTAATTTAAATCAAATCACAAACTGTCACAATTAATAGTTACATTTTCATTTCACCCATAAAATCATAATTGTGCTGTCATAAAGTCACATGTTGTCATGTATGAACACAGCTCTCCACTAACTTCCTGTTTGGTTATGTTTAATTTTCTGGATTTTCTTCATTTCTTGAATATCTCATGGTATTTTTCATCTTGAAGGTGTGGTTGAATGTCTTCCCATCACCTTTTTATTTCAAATACTCCTAATGCAATTCATAATAGGTCTGCCTTTTGTCTGTTGTGTATTCCCTCTAGCAGAATGCTGTTATTACCATCTTTTCACCTTTGCAATCCAAAAATCTGTGTCTCACCCTTGGGTACCTCCATTTCTCTTATATCTCCCAAGACCAAGTAAGAATAAACCCCTTTAGATCTGAGTACTGTGCTTCTTCATGTGAGTGGAGGAATGAAAAGTATGTTGGTTAATTCCCTAACCCTCAGGAAGTGTGAAGAAGTAGGTACTTTTCTCTGAAGAAAACATGTGACATTTACAGTTCTACTTTAACTTGCTGGTTACTGCAGCAGTCAATTTTTTCCAGAGCTATATACCCACTAAATCAAAAAAGTGTTCTCATAGCAGAATCAGGAAAATGATACTGCACTGGTCCAGATATGCTAAACTTGAAATGTACTTCTACTATCCTCTTGGAGATTTGTAATAATATCTCATTGTTTCTGGTTTTTTCCTTTTGATTTTTCCTTTCATCTATTGTACTGGGACAGGAAGTAGCTAAGGAAAGTGCTGAAGAGAGAGAGAAAGGCTGCTTTGGAAAATGCTTTCCAAGCTAAACTTGAGCCACAAGGTTATCAAAGAAATGGGTGGAGAAAAGAGGAGGGCGCAGTGGAAGCGTGCTTTCTGATACTAGAGCCATCTTCTGAGTGAAATTTTATCCCAGGACCAGGATGTGTGGTGTAAATACAATAAGAAAACTTAACCAGAGAACTTATTCATTTACAGTAAATCCCCAAACATGTATCCAGTGGTCTCCCACACACCTTGGCCAACACCAACCCTAATTACCATATCATTGACTATGCAGATTTGACAGGCATCATCCCTTCAGCTCTCGACTCCATGACAGTTTCTCAGAGGGACTTAAAAGGTCAGAAACTCCAATGTGCTACCAGAGGGCCATGTTAAGACTCTCATTGGCAGGAGTTATAATTCAAACCAACCCTTCAATCCTAGCCTGAACCCTAAAGCTTAAAATCATCAAAACCAAGACCCCAAAGAGTATGCATTTTGCCACAGTCATTTTCCCAACCTTTCCCACCCTGTGGAGTATAACTTGTCTTTCCTCCTTCAATTATATCTTTCAATTCGGAGCTGCACAATTTTTTATATAGGATATCAAAAACCTGGAGAAACCTCCAAGCCTGTGACAAATACCATCTGCCTGCAAAACTGTTTTTTATTTCTCTTCTGATAGAAGGAAAAAAACCTGTTTATGTTGAACTTATCCTTATTAATGATAGACACTCATTTACAAGTCAAAAATGAGACTGCCTACTAGGTTAAAGAGTGTCAAAGTGGAGGCACAATACATGAGAAATTTTTAATCCTGCCAAAATGAGTAAAAACAGCAGAAAAAACATGAATTCTCTTTCTGACATTCAGTGTTATGAAATGACATCAAGGAAGCCTACTTTTGTAGATTTAGAAAAAAAAGATTCCACAGCACACTGATCACTACAGTTTC